GGGGGGGGGGGGGGGGGGAGGTTGCGTAAAGAGCCTCAGGCAAGGGGCTGCCAGAGCCTGAATGACAGGGGACCTGGGCAGGGAAGCCCCTCCTCAAAAGCCTCCCAAGAGCCCGGATCCTTCAACCTCCTGCCCTTGGTACTATCCCCTGCCTGCATTTCCAGGCCTAAGCTTTCCCTGGTGTTCCTGAGGTGTGTGGGCCCTTCCTGACCACATTCAGCCAGAGTCACTAAATTCCTCACAGAGCCATCAGGTCCACATCGAGGACAACACTCTGTGTGTGTCAGTCCCTCAGTGCCAGGCAGGCCTCTGGGGTACCCAGGCCCTGTCCTGGGCGGGAACATGGAATGGGGCTCCCCACCCAGGGCTCCAGAGTCCAGAATCCCGAGCAGCTGCAGCGGCTGACTTCAGTCATGTGAAAATGACTTCAGCCACGGGTGTCGAGAGGCTGTTGGGAGTATTGCCCCCGCCCCAGTGAAGCCCACCGTGCAGGGGATGTGGGGTCCCTTACCTCGAGGTTCAGCTGAAGGGGCCCCTGGGTCCTCAGGCAGAGGCAGTGGGGGTGCTGGTGGAGGTGGGGGTGCCTGGGCAGTGGGCGGGTTCCGGCCAAACACGTCCCGAAGGTGCTCCTGCTTTTCCTTGATGGAGCTGGAGGGCCCAAGCTGTGGTGGGGCCTTGGGTCGAGGAGCCACAGCTGGTGGGAGGCCCTTCCCTGGGCTGGGGGACAGTGTCTGGGGGTGGGGGCACAGAGAAGGCAGGTAGGCTGAGTCTAGGGGCAAGGACAAGTTTACCCCAGAGAGCCTTGGACTTCCAAGCAGAGCAGCCCATGCCCTGGATGGGGGGCTCACCGGAGGCGGGGAGTGGGCACCGTTGATCCCCAACTTGGCCAGAGCCTCGTCCTTAGGATCATATTTCCTCGTGAAAGATTTGGGGGGCCTTGTGGGGGAAGGAAGAGGTCACTAGGTCCACAGGGTAATTCCCCGAGGAGCAGAACAGCCCCGGCCACCTCCCCCGGGGCCCACCTGGACGGCTGCACAGGCACAGGGACAGGGGACGGGCGGCTCTGGTACATGCGGATGATGTTGCGAATTTCCCTGCTGGGTTCTGGCCGCTGGGGCGTGGGATCCAAGCTGCGCACCACGGGCCCCCTGCCCTGCGCTGGCCCTCGGCCAGGACCGGGCCCTGCCTTCCCGGTGGGCTCAGCTTCGGCCTCTTTTGCAGCTCTGACCTCGCCTCCTTTCCAGGGCTTCTTCACCGCTGGGGGAGGAGGAGGGGACAGCACTGACCAGGAAGAGGGGAAGGACAATTAAAAACTGTGCAGAACCACGGGAGCCCCAGGTCCTCCCCAGCTCCCCTCCCCACCTGCTCCTGTTTCCTCTTCTTGCTCCTCCGGCTCCTCCCCCCGGGGCATCTGGACCTTGGCCGGAGGCTTCACCACCTTCACCTTGATCTCCTGCTGGCCTGTAAGTATCCAGGTGGCCTTCTCTGCTAGCCACGTTTGCCCAACGGCCTCCACCGGCTGGCCCACCCTCCCCTGGCCCAGGTGCCACCCGCGTGCCCTTACCCATCCTCTGGAAATAGTCCCGCTTCTGCTGGAAGCTCTCGGGCCACCAGGACCTGTCTTCAGCCTCCTCTGAGGTCTCCTCCTGGGAGGAGGGAGAAGTGAGGAGCAGCCCTAGCCAGCCACGTCGCCACTCACAACGTCCCCCTCAGATCCCTGGGGCCTGGGGCCCAGTAGCATCTTCCTGCTCAGCCCGCCTGACCGTGCCTCTCCTCCCTGCAGTCCTGGCACCTGCTGCCCCCACCCCAGGTCCCACTATCCGCCTGGTTTTGGCTCCTCACCCTCAAGCAGGCACCCACTGAGTCCACGTCATGCTCTGGCTCCTCTCGAGGGGCGGGGGGCTTCCTGGGCTTGGAAGTCATAGCTGAGGGTAGAGCCTGGGAGACAGCCCCAGGGACCTGGGAGGCAGCCCCGGGGGTCTGGGAGGCAGCCCTGGGGGCCTGGGATTGGCGCTGGCGCTGCTGGGTCTGCTGCTCCAGGGACAGGGTCATGGCCTGGGTGGTCATCTGCTGGGCCTGAAGGGGAGGGGCACTGGGCCAGGTAAGAGCCCAGCCTGGCCCTTCCCCAAAGACCTGCCCTCCCCCAGGCAGCTGTGGGCCCTGCCCAGACTCACCAGGAGCAGCGCCTGCTGGTTGATGAAGTTCTGCTGCTGGACCGCCAGCTGCCTCGTGTCCAGGCTGGGAAGCAGAGGTTGCAGCTGTGGCTGCAGCTGTGGTGGCACCATCATGGCTGCGAGGGCGGCAGGTGGGCCGGAGTAAGTGAGCGCCATGGCCAAGCTCCAGGTCCTCTGCCCACTGCCCTCTGGGTTCAGGGCAGGACCCTCCCTCCTCCAGTCCCAGAGCTGGCATTTTCTCTCCTGAAAAAGGACCCTGGTGCCCTGGCCCAGTCTTACCTGGCATGGTGGGAACTGTGCCCATGGCTGGCATCATGGGCAGGGGTGCAGGCACCATGGCTGGCTGGTATCCAGGCACCTGCATCATCCCTGGGTACACTAAGGGAACAGGGCCCTCCCAGATCAGCCCCTACCAGGGCCCACATACCACCTCCATCCAGCCCCAGGTAAAGAAAGGAGCATCGGCCACCAGGGTGCTGGCTGGAGCACCAATCCCAGCTGCCTGAGGGGTCCCAGGCCACGTGTGCCTGTGCTGCTGGGCCTGGGAGGCCCTGGATAGAAATCAGTGCACACTCACCCATGGGGTAGCCCTGCTGCATAGGCCCGATAGCTCCCCCTCCCTTCATGCGGCCCCTCAGAGCCCTGCCTTGTTCCAGATCCTGGAGGGACAATGGTCACAGTGTCAGAGCCAGAGCCCTGGGAAAAACGGAAGGGGCAGCAGAGGGAGGCCCCAGAGGGGTAGGGGCCGGGGGAGGGTGGGGTGTGTGCAGGACACTCACACCAAGGCTCGGGGAGAAGACTGGCTCGAAAAGGTGGTCCAGGAAGCCATCCAGACTCCCCAACCTTCGGGCCTCACCTGTGGTGCAGGGAAGGGGTCAGCATCATCTGCCGGTCAGAGGCTTCTTGCACCCCCATTCCCAGCATTCTGCCAATCTCCATGTGCCCACTCAGCCTTACCTGTGTGGCCTCTGCTGGGCAGTACTGGCACTGGACCTAGGGGGAACCCTGGGGGCAGCGAGGGGGCCTGGACATCAGGGGCAGGGGGGATGTCTTCGGCTCTGCGGGAGACAGTGGGTCTGGCTAAGGGGAATGCCCAGGCTGGGGCAAGAGGAGAAGCTACTGTGGGGGTTGCCTCTGGAGGTGGGGGGTTATGGGGAAGCTGGGCCTGTAGCAGCACCTGTGAACCACAGGGTGTGACAACGTGGCTGTTGTGGCAAGGGAAGGGACAGGCAATAGTCAGTGGTGCTGGGGTGGCACCTACGAGCTGAGGAAGGCAATAGGGTATCTGCGGGGACTGGCTGGGTCCCCCAGGTCTTCGGTCTGGCCGATCAGGTCCAGCACAAAGTCGCAGCCAGCCAAGTCCTGCCATGCGTTCCCGGAGTGCAGTGACACGGACCAGCCACGGGGGGGCACCTCCAGGCCTCTGTGTGGGACAGGGGTGTGCAGTGGGGGATGGTCAGCGAGTCAGAAGACCACCCAGAAGGGACAAGGACCTGAGGGCGTGCCAAGGGGGAAGGAACGGGAGCGGGGAGGCCCTGGAGGCTGAGAATCCAGCTTCACTGGGCAGCTCGGACAGCTCGCCTGTGTTTGAGCCTCACACCCTCCTCTTTGCACATGGCCCTAACGCTCCCCTGTACCAGCGACCTGCTGAATTGGAGTCTGGGCTGTAGTGTCGCGCACGCCCTGCATGTACAAGTCCTGCTCCTTGCTCCCACCTCGCACGTCTGCAGTCTGGACCCCACCCATTTGCCCTCACACCTTGTCCCCCGCCCCGCCCTTTGAGGGAGCAGCTTCTGGCCCTGGGCCTGCAAGGAGGGACCGTGGGCTGGCAGGATGAGGATGATGCAGGAGGAGGAGAAGGACAATGGTCAGTTTTGGCTGCACTGTCCCGCCATCCCAGTCCTCCTATACCTGCTCTGCAGGATCCACCCGGCAAATTGCTCCCCTGTGGTCCAGGATTCCACCTCAGCTGAGTAGCACTCCTCTGCAGGGGCGAGGGGTGGGGGGCGAGAGTGAGGGAGGGCAGGGCTCACCCTGGTGGGAAGGGGCCACTGTCCCCACGGGGGTTCCGAAAGCGGGACAGAGGGAGATCAGGGTTGCAGAGGGTGGGGCAGCAGGAAGGCTGAGGCAGGAAGGTGGTCCAGGGAGGGCCAGAGGGCAGGCTGGCTCCACTGTGGGCCTGGGGAGGCCTCAGCAGGAAGCGACCATCACCATGGGCGCGACACCGAGGGTTGCGATCCCGTTACTGGTCACGAAAAAAGACAAAAAGGAAAAAAAAAAACAAAAAGAAATTGACACCCGGGGCCGGCCTGTGGCTCACTCGGGAGAGTTCGGTGCTGATGACACCAAGGCCATGGGTTCGGATCCTATATAGAGATGGCCGGTTCGCTCACTTGGGAGAGCCTGGTGCTTACAACACCAAGTCAAGGGTTAAGATCCCCTTACCGGTCACCTTTTAAAAAAAAAAGAAAAGAAAATTGACACCTGTTCATGCAGAAAAACTCAGAAACCATAAAAAAGGATAAAAAAAAGTAGAAACCACCATTAACATCCCACTGCCAGAGATAACCCCAGCTAACGTTTGAGCCTTTCTTCCTTGTCTTATTTCCTCTGCTTAGACACATAC